ACATGAGCCGGGCTCGGTGGCTCAGCCTGTAATCCCGCGCCTTGGGAGGCTGAGGTGAGTGGATTGCCTGAGCCTGCGGGTTCGAGACCCGCCTAGGCAACTTGGTGAAACCTCATCTCTACAATAAATAAAAAGTTAGCCAAGCGTGGTAGCACATGCCTGTAGTTCCAGCTACTTGGAAGGCTGAGGCAGAAGGATCACCGGAGCCCAGCAGGTCGTGGCTGCGGTGGCCGGTAGTCTGGGCAACGGAGTAAGACTCCGACTCAAAAATAATAATAATAATAATAATAATATGGTTTGATTAGTTCTCCATAACTCCTTTATGAAAAGATAGGGAATTTGTGTTTTAGAACTTTTTACATAATTATAGTGGCTAGTGTCATAGTTCAGGTAGTCCTCCTGCAATTAGGTGATTATATTGAGAAATAAAATTATTTTCCAATTTTTTTCTTTAGGAGGCCATTTCACAGAAATACAGATGCTCCAGTAGGCATCTGTCATCCGTGTTAGGAGAAAACCGGGAAGATTTCTCTCTCTCATACACACACACACACACACACACACACACACACACACAGTTACACACACACAACTTATTCCAGTAGCCTTTTGAAAAGATTGCCAAAATAACATTTTCCCCTTGAAAATATCTTTTGGGTTTTACATAGTATAGTACCACAAATGCTTTTTTGTATATTATTACCCATCCTAAAGTAGAAATGTAGTTTTTAGTGTCTATTCATTACTTGCTAACTTTGGTTGGTCATACATACCTTATCCTTTATTGTCTGAGCTGTTCTTTAAAGGTGTTTATTTATTTATTTATTTATTTTTTGAGTTGGATCTCACTCTGTCACCCAGACTGGAGTGCAGTGGCCGCTCCCGGCCACCGCAGCCTCGACCTGCGGGGCTCCGGCGATCCTTCCTCCTCAGCCTTCTGAGTAGCTGGAATTACAGGCACGCGCTACCACATCCGGCTGATTTTTTGATTTATTGTAGAGATGAGGTCTTGCCAAGTTGTCCAGGCAGGTCTCAAATCCGTGGGTTCAGGCAATCCACTCACCTCAGCCTCCCAAAGGCGTGGGATTACAGGCTGAGCCACCGAGCCCGGCTTTATTTTTATTCCCATTTTACAGATGAGGACATTTAGACTGAGAAATTTTAAGTCTTTTAAGACATTTTTTTCAACTTCACTATTTATTGGAGTATGATTGACAAATAAAGTTGTATGTATTTAAGGTATACATATGATGCCTTGATATATGTAATTAAGTCATTTTTCTAAATGTACACAGCCATAAGTGGCAAAGCCAAAACTCTAATCCAGGCCACTCTGGTTATTTTCATGGGTCAGGCTGTCTGATTGTATTCTTTTTGTAGAACTTAGAATAGTACAGCAAAAGAAAGCAAAAGTCAGAATTGGATTTCTCATAAGTTGATCTAATAACAAAAAGGTTTCCTACATGGGACACATTCAGCTAAAGAGAAAAAGAGTTGAAGGAAGCTTTTATGACTGTCATCATCCATCTGCAATGAGAGTTGGTATATAGATTTTCTGTTTCCAATGATGACAGAAAAAAGAGAGCATGTGTTTAAATTGCAGCAGAGATTAAGATGCAGTATCGAGAAGAATGATGTGTTTACACACTGAACAAAAATCAAAATTGGAAATGAATTTCTGCACTACTCAAGGGGAAAAAAGATTACCTGAAATATTAAGATAATTAAAACAGTATTTTGTCTTAATTTTCAAACAAGTACACCAGTTTATGTACATGGACACCAAACTTAAAATGTATTACACATTAGGAATGTCTGAAATAGTACTATGAAATATTTTTCTCTAAAGGTTTTTAAGAAAAAAAGATAAAATATCAATTTTTGAGAATGCTTTAAGTTTCCTGCTCTCTAGTGATCAAAAGTTGGATCAAACGAGCTCCTAAGAAATTCTTCCAATTCTTAGATACGATTTCAGCAAATCATATTTTAACAATGCTATTTTTATTAATATTTACCATTTTTAACTCCATATTTTCTACAGATTTCTTAAGGATAATATGTAATACTTGGTTATTTTCTTCTCCCTCTTCTCCACCCACCTCAACCAAAACAAACACGCAAACATATCCATTTCTTCCTAGACAGTGAATCCTACCAGGAAATTTAGAGTTCATATGTGCAGCAAATTCTATGCATTGAGGCCATTTTTGGGGCCTCTGAATTTAGGTGGTGCTCCTGATGTTCACTTGATGGTCATGTGATGTGGGGCTCTGTAGATGCAGGGAGTCACACTGGGATACAAGACTTAAAACTGTAATATTTATGAGCATAAGTAGTAAAAATTATGGCTTGCCAACATGTTGAGCCACTCACAGTCATTTTTGAATCTACCTGGTAGGCTGTGATTAAGGGTTGGCTGCCAAGCTGTCCATCTATAAGTGCTATCATTTAGGGGAAATGTTTGAAATACTATAATAAGACTTACTGTTCTTAACATTCTCATAAAGGTAGGTACATGTAGCATCTTCATTTTTTTCTCTGTCAATTTAATTGCATTATCTTAGTTCTCTAAAAGGATATCATAGTTCATTACCCTCTTTAGATCTATCTTAAAGGAATTTTCAATGTGGGTAATAGACTTTATGTGAAGGGTTTGTTTTGTTGTTTATTTTCTTAGGTTTTTTTTTCTTTCAGCTAAAAATCTTTTTTTTTTTTTTTTTGATATTTTGAGGGAAGAGATAATCGGATCTTTTTAGTCCAAAAATAGACTTGGATTCAATATAATGATTATTTTAAAAAGTAAAATGGTAATCCTGTAGAAATATATTACAGTTTGGGCTAGGTGGCTTGTTCTTAAAGCAGCCCCATGATTGGCTGCCTGGTTTTATCATTTTATCCTGGTTATGATTCTCTGCTTATCTGACCATCATAAACAACTTTCTTTGGATTTTATTTTCTTGTGTTTTGTTTATGTTTTTAAATATCTTTGGCATAAGGAAACCGAAGTGAACTTTTACCATAAAATAGTATTTGATAGAGCAAGAGGGAGATTTATTTTTGAGTATATGTAGGAGGCTCCTTGATAGTGGATGTTTAAAAAAAGTCTTTTACTTGTTTTGAAAGGAAAGATGGATCACAGTTTTCATGGAGAGCGAATCAATGCATAAATAAAACAGAAATTTCAAGACCATATTATAGTTTAGGAAATTTACTGTAGTTAATTTATTTTTCACATTGAGATCATTTTTTTCACACATACAACAACCCATAAATGATTACTGATTGGAAATCCAGCTTATGGAAAGCACTACAGTTCAGTTGTAGTGATCTCCATTTCATGTAGTTCTAGTTTTAATTGACTCAATCTCAGAAGCTCAGAAGAGTAGAAAACAAATGTGTGGGGGGAAAAGTGGTGTACAATTCGAAAAGTTAGGAAACTGGAAATGATATCTAGAACTAGTCTCTTTAGTATCATATAAATAATTATATGAGAGATTTGATCAATACTGGGAGGCAGGAAGGGCTGTCTAATAAAAACATTCTAAAAACTGTTGTGCATTTTTTTCACAGTCTGACTGCCCATACTCAGAAAAAGTTCCAAGTATTAAAATTCCCATGGACATCATGGAACAACAGCCTTTCCTAAGCGATAGCAAACCTTCCGACAGTGAGTAGAACTAACCTCTTGCACGCTTGCTTGAATATGATTTGCACTTACAGAGAAAAAACTTTAGAACTATTACCTACATTAACTTTCCCTGTATTTCATCTTTTTTTTCTTTCTAAGGATTTATACTTAATTTTTATAAAATATTATTTTTACATACCCTAAGCTTCACTCTTAATTTCTTACCCTAAGCTTCACTCTTAATTTCTTCTGTTTTTCCATAACCTTTTAAATTTTTGGTTGGTAGTCTTTTCTCTCTCCCAAATTATCACCAGTTTTTGTTGGTTGGTTGGTTGGTTTGGGTTTTTGTTTTGTTTTTCAATTGCTAAACCTGTAACCATGTTTTTAATTGTTTTTTGTTTTTTTTTTTTGCTGGTATTTAGAATTGCAGCTTATAGTACTACATCACTGTCTGTTACTGTTTGTCTTCCTTAGGTTTCAACCAATGACCAAATCAGTTCAAAAGAAAAATTGCATCATGGGTCTCTCAATGATTAATGAATTAATTGTTAATATGGAGAATTTAACATGATTGTTATTTTCAATTAAATTGACAATCATAAAATATTAGCACAACTTTCTAAATATAACTTACAAGATATATGCATTTTGTTTTTCATTTCTTCATCTTTTTGCTATTTCCCAGTTATTATTGTAACTGCACTGATCTTTCTGGAGTAACAGCCCAGGGCTACAGGGTAATCGTTTATGACATGTCATCTTTTCTTTTGTAATTAAGTTAACAGGCCACTTGAAAAGGGAGGAACCTCTATGGTAACATTAGTAAACATCTCAAGCTTTTCCAATAACAAGTAGCAATTGCCTTCAAACTACTCTGCGCTTTGAGTTCTCATTGAAGAAAATGCATTCTTTTAGATTCAGATGGACTTCAAAGTGTACTGATCTGTAGAGTAAAAAGACAGTTGAATCTCTTTTGTTTCTGTTTGACAATGCCATTCTTTAGTAAGAGGTCACTGTTACCAAGAAAGATTTAGAATGAATGTCCATGAATAAAAAGTGGGTATATTAGTTATTCATTGTTAAGTAACAAATTACCAGAGAATTTAGCAGCTTAAAACAACAAGCACATATGTTCTTACACAGTTTCTGACATTCAGAAATGTAGGAAAGCCGGTTTTGTTTCTGGTTCAGGATCTCCCATGAGCCGGCTGTTGACTGGGACTTGACTGGAGCTGAAGCTTTGATGTTAAGCTCACTCATGACGCCCTTGGTAGGACGTTTCAGCTCCTTGACCTGTGCATATCTCCATAGGGCTGGGCTGCCCATGATAGGGCTTCCCCTAGAACGAGTGATGAGAGAGAAACCAAGACAGAAGCTGCAGTCTTCTATAACCGAATCTCATAAGTGACAGCCCATTACTTCTGCCATATTCAGATGGCTGTGCAGACCAACCCTGCTTCAGTGTGGGAAGGAATAACACAAGGTCCTATACACACCAGGAGACAGAAGTCACTGGGGCCATCTTCAACACTGGCCGCCGCCTTGTGTTTAAAGAACAAAGAATGAAATAGTCTTACCTTTGGTATCCAATTTGCAACCTACAACTTGTAATTGAGGTGAATTTCTGCTCACTTTGTCAGTGGGATTTGATTAAGAATTTCTTTTGGAATTGAAGCTCCCTCAATCATGTTTCTGACTTTTCTTTTTAACCTCTACAGCATTGAGAGCAAAGGAGACTATGACATACATGTGCCCAGCACATATGTCTTCTGGTCTCATCATAAACTCGTATAGTCCCTTCTGTACAATGTAAAAGCTACTTAAGAAAAGCCATCACAAGGAAAACATTCATACTCTTAAGAATGCTTTAAAAAGATAAATTGCAATTAATATATTAGTTTACTTCAGCAAAATACACATGATCATTTTGACTGAAATATTTTCTAATTGCATGTTAATCTTTATAATCAGTGAAAGAATAAAACTGATAGAAGTAGCATCAAAAGAGGACTGGACAAAGAAAATGTACATTTACATGATAAACTATTATGCAGCCATAAAGAAAAACAAAATTATAAACTTCACAGCAACTTGGATGGAATTAGAGTCTATGATACTCAGTGACTTATCACAGAAACAAAGATCTGAGTACTACATGTACTCAACAATAAGCAGATCCTGAACATTATTATAATACTATAAGAAAGGGATTATTATTGGAATATGATAAGAATAGTGGGACAGTTCTAAGGGGGAGTGGACATGACATCAATAAGGGTACCTACACTTTACCTGTACGATGACCACTTATGTACCTAACCCTGATTTGTACCCCACATCTTTAAAGGAAAAGAGAGAGAGAGAGAAAAGAAAATTGTAGTATAGATAAGTACTTCAAAAGTCTGTTTTCCCCCATTAATCACAGCAGGACACATTTGTGAATGCTGACAGTGAAAGGAAATCCAAGGGCAAGCCTTAGACATCAAGAAGATGCTATCGCCTTCTAAAAATGATTCCTCATTACCCTATTCACTAAAAAGACAGCAGTGGTTCATCCCAGAAAACCTGAAGTGAAGGAAACGAAGTGATTTGGGCTTCATCACCTACTTAGAGTCTTCGCTTGAAACGCTGTTTATTGAAATGGCTAAACTTGTCTTTCTTACTCTTTCCAGTTGTGAAAGATGCATCAATTTTGTGGAGTTTTTTTTCACCCTAACTTGTATACTTTACCAAAGACCTACTATTTATGATTATTTTTTAATTTATTTTTCAGGAGAAAGATCGTCAACATTCCTTGAGCGCCACACATCATGCTGATAAAATTCCTTTCCTTCAATCACTCGGTATGCCAAGGTAAAGGACAGTCCGGTATTTATGTTGTTCTGTGGATGACTGCTCTACAGAGATGTAGTAAATGGCAGGTTATTGGCAGAATTTCTTGTTCTCTTTCCTCTCTATGATTTATCTTAAACCAATTACCCAGTGACCAAAACTTGTCCCAGCTTTTACTGAGAAGAAAACATTCTAAGAGTCCTACTTACTCTTTGAAATACTGGAATTTTTCAGTATCATGAAATTAAAACCCAGGATCAGCATTAGCTCTTATAATTCCAGTATCACCCATGATTTAAATGGATAACTGGTGTTATCTGGTGGCTTTCCTCCAGCAGTTTTCTATACTCTAAAAAGGCTTTCGAAATTTCCAGTGCTACTTGATTCTCAAAAGAGTGAAATGTCTGAATGTTTTCATCATGTCAATTCTTCAGTTCTTCAGTTGTTGACAGTATTACTCACAGGAGAGTCCCTTTTCTCTTTTTTGATTTTGTTGTGTGTGGTTTTAATCTAGGTATGAGATCTTGGAAATTTTTACTTGAATTTCTTGACTCTGTTGGTATCTTCATACCAGTTAAAATGTTTGCTTTTAATATACAAGGAGGAGATAACTATTAAAAGAGAACAAAGACTGACACATTTGAATTCTGTACAGTGCGTAAACGTTTGACAGACGATGAAGGAAATCTGATTTTCTTACTACCTCTTTTTCTTTTTTATCCGTCTCTAGTCCTCCTAGAACTCCAGTAAAAGTTGTGCCTCAAATTAGAATAGAACTTGAGCCTGAAGACAATGATGACTTCTGGAGGAGCAAGGGAACAGACACTACATTGTAACTTGTTTGTCTTTCTTAAAACTGACAGTCTTGTTGTTAATGTTTTGGGGGGTTTTGTCTGGCTGTTTATTTTTTAACTTTTATTTTGTCTCAGTTTTTGGTCACTGGCCAAAGTGCTCTCTCTGCTTCTCCCCTGCATAGGTAAAATCAAGACAATAGTGCATCGTTCCTTAAAAACAGCATCTGAGGAATCCCCCTTTTGTCCTTAAACTTTCAGATGTCTCCTCTGACAACAGAATTTCTCTATCACTCAAGACACACACAGACCATGCTATTTTCCTCTATTAAGCAGAGGACAAAAGTATTAAGGATTTTATAACACCTTTTATTAAAATATTGAAGGAACTTGCAACCTTAGCTTTGGAGCTGTGCTTACTGGCTTGTCTTTGTCTGGTAAAACAAACCTTGACCTCCAGGCAGAGTCCCTTCTCACTAATAGAGCTCTCTGGGACTGGAAAAAGTGCTGCTATTCTAACTTGCTTTTGCTTGTAAACCCTAATCTTAGAGTTATCAAAAGAAGAAAAACTAAAGGTACTTTACTCCCTATAGAGAAACCATTGCCATCATTGTAGCAAAGTGCTGGAATGTCCCTTTTTCCTATGCAACTTTTTTTAACCCTTATCTGTTGAGTACATTGAAGAGTATTTTTCTTCCTAGATTTTGTTGTTTAAATTATGGGGCCTAACCTGCAACTTATTTTTTGTCAATTTTTAAAACTTTTTTTTAATTACTGTAAAGAAAATGAATTTTTTCCTGCAGCAGGAAACATAGTTTTGAGTAGTTCTACCTCTTATTTGTAGCTGCCAGGCTTTCTGTAAAAATTGTATTGTATATAATGTGATTTTTACATACACAATCTCTAGGGTAAGCCAAAAGGCTAGATCAGATTTAAAACACCATGTTTCTAAGCATCCATTTTTCCCTTTCTTTAAAAAAAAAATTAACTGTTCTATGAAGGAAATTGAGGGAGAAGAAACAAACTCCTATGTGATGGGAAGAATTGATGTTCTGATAATAGTAGTATCCGGGTACAAATGCTGATTGTATTACCATATCATTGTCCTATGCAGTATTGTTAGATATTTTTTCTTTTTGAAATATTTGTGTGTTTGTATATGTACTCTCTGTGTGGCTGGTGCACGTATGTGCAAAATTTAGAAAGAAAAAGAGTAACTAGGCAAAGGACAAACGATACTGAATCTCTTATGCCAGTTTTCATAAAACTCAAAACACATATGAAAAACCCATCAGGGAATCCAAGAAATTTGCCATTATGCAAATGAGGGTAAATATAGCTTATTCTCCAGGTAATATCAGTCACCATCATTTATATAATGGCTCATATTTACAACACAAAATCCACATGTCTATATTTACACATCACTAAAGTGTCATGGGGATGCAGATAGATCCGCAAAGGTATATGGATAAACACCTTAACAGTACTCTCACATACATTTATTTGGGATGCCAAGGCAGTTGTTCTTTGTGATTGGGACTTTTAGAATGTATTTGTGTACATATCATATGTATGTGTGTTTCAGAGTACCATATTGAAAATTAGACCTTTATTATCAAAATTTACCGTGATATTTAAATGTAAAGTGTTTGATAGGTTATATTATACATTGTGAATGCATATTAAAAATAACATTTAAAATGTTGAATCTATAATTTTGGATTCATATAACCACAATTGTGATATATTCTAACTATAGCCAGTTGTTGGAGGTATAGTAAAAGCAGAATGAAACCACTTTTTTTGATCTTATAATATGCCTTTATTGACTCCCATTTACTGTGATATTAATTAAATTGTAATTCTGTCCTCTGAAATTTTAAAATTTTGAAAAATTTTATTATACTGAGTTAGCTGTTACTTGTGTGGCATCCGATAATCTTAAAGCTTTTAATTTTATAAAACTTAGACATAAATGACCCCAATATTTTCACTAAATTGGTAGTGGCAGATTATATGTTATTGTGTTAAAACCTCACATGCTAAATTTTGGGATTGCATTTGTATTTAGAGCTATCCTTAAAATAATTTGTTTATATTACTAGTTTTCTATTACCCTAACATAAAGAAATATTTTTCTCTATTGATGGAAGCATCAATAAAATGTTTGTTTTAAAACAATGTATTACAATAAATTCAGCCTAACCTATGATTTTGTCAAATTAAAGACATTTTGGTTTGCTTTTATAAAAGCTCTAGAAAGAATAACTTTTTCTGATCATGAATCACGTATTTGTGGGTTCATGCCCCTTTCCATACCTTTCAAAGAACTCCTAAAGCAACTTAACTCATTATTTCAGTCTTTGAGTAGATGTGAAAGCTATTTGCCCCTTCACTGATGTTTCTATTCTGTGGTGGAAGGTTGGCATTCATGATATAAGCACAGAATACTGACTTACATTTGCTAAATAAACAGCTAATATCAAACTCTTTCAATATTCTACAACCCAGGGAAGTTTTTTTAAAAATCATTACTTTCAAAGGAAAAGTAGTAGTTACCAAACTAACAAGCAAAACCTGAGGCTCACAGAGAGATATCAGATTATCTGTACTTCAACTGAATTTACTCATTGACTAAGACCTAACAAGACTTTGGGATGGTTTTGTTCCTATGTAAACTGGACACAAATTATAATAGTAAATTTGTTATAAGTGTTTCTCCCTTTTCTCCTTGATATGAATTAGGAGATAAAAGATTCAAGTTGTTTGAAGTAAAGACTCAGTATACTCAGAGTTGTGAACCCAATGTCTTGTCAATGGTTTAGAAACTTACTGTTGGAAGGAAAGAGATGACTAGGCCAAGAGTCTGCCTTATCAAAGGAGCAGAAATGCCCCCTGGTTTTACGTTTAAGAGAAAATCTCTTAGAGACACTGTTTTCTTTGACAAAAGTCAATTTACTGTGTGAAATGACTACTTGGAATTCGATTGTTTTGTGTGCCATAGGCAGTAATGTTCCTGATTCTTCTTCTAGTCAAGGATGGGGGGTGGGGGTGGGGAGGAGACTTATTTACTTAAGAAGTAGGAAAGCAAAAACCTTCCTGCTCAGCTCCCCAACCTCAAAGAATGGGGAAAAACAATTGTCTGCTGTCAATAATTCAGTTTCTGTGTATTTTATGCACATGCTCTAACCCACACAGAGTAAATCTGTTATCAGCTATATATTGGTGTTTAATAGAGAATGATTGTCTTCCAAGTTTTTTTTTTTAACCGTGTTAAAGTACTTGAAATGTATTGACTGCTGACTATCTTTTAGAAACAAAATGAAATCACTTAGGTTGTATTTCAGAAGTTGACATTGTTCGGGAATGGGACAAAGCTTTCTTCAGTCTTTTTCATACCACTTAATGATTTTGGTGCAGGAACCTGAGTTGTTTTTTTTTTTTTTAATTTATATACCATGATATTTCACATCTGCTCTTTACAGCACAATCATGAAGCCCATTGGCACCAAGTAACTGAAAACAATCAAATGATATCTTATAGCACTTCACTATCTGAAGGGCCTTGGGAGTTTTCAGATGATGATTTCACTGAACTTCATTGCAGCCTAAAATTGTAAAAAAAAGCTTTGTAATACATGCTAACCAGGCAAGTTGTGTTTTTACCAGAAATTTGGATATGTCCTGTTTCCTGGCTCATTTCATTGTGCTTCATGGGTACATGCAAAAATCAAGAATTCTGTTTCCTAGGCAAATACTGCAACTCAGGGCTAAAGTCATCCAGTGAAACTTTTAGAGCCAGAAGTAACTTTGTCCCAGTCCTACAATGTGAAAAGAGTGAATAGTTGCCTCTTTTTAGCCATTTTCATGGCTGGTACATATTCGTACACATTACTTTTCAGAATCAATACGCACTTTCAGATACTCTTATTTTTATTCTCTTAAGTCTTTATTAACTTTGGAGAAATGATGCATCTTTTTATTTTAAATGAAGTAGATCAACATGGTGGAACAAAATGATATAGAACAGAAACATTTCAATATATTACTAATAATTTTTTCCAATATAAAACCTAAAATTCCTATAACATTATAGTATTTTACAGTTTTATGAAGCTTTCTATTGTGACTTTTATGGAATTAAGAGATGAAGAAGATGAGATATTTTAGCATTTATATTTTTCAAAATTATATGTATACTTAAAATAAAGTAACTTTATGCACTTATGAGTGTCAAGTGTTTCTGTTCAACTCTTCCAATAATTGTTAAATGCATATTATTTCACTTCTCTGGGTGCTGCATGGAATACAGAGATGAGTAAGTCAGAGTCCCTGTCCTCAAACTGCTTTAATCACAGGAAGGGTGATTAAAATAAGTGACCGAATTATATAAAATAAGATTGTAAGGATTATCTCTTTAAGTATTAATGAAGTGCTATTATACAAGGATTCAAAGCAAGAAAAAAATATGTCTGAATAAGAGCAGTGGGAATGGTTTTATTGAAAAGGTGTTATAGTCATTCTTCTTTTACAAAATGAATGATATATAAAATACTGTTTTCTTGAATCCAGGATGATGGATACAGTCAATTAGTTTTCAAAACATAAACAAAAACCCACCTGCTAAGCATAATAAGCACTTAGCAAAATTTAATAACTCAGATGAACAAAATCCTGGAGTGATTGTCTACCAAAGACATATTGCATATACTCTTGCTGGGCCTATCAAGCTTACCTGTGATATTTAAAATTGCTTAGGACACTTCAGCTCAGACCTAAGTTGTCAAAAAGTGGTGATGGGGGATGGGTAAGGAGCAAACAGTAGACGGGATCAGAAAGAGCTGTTGGTAGCTGTCGACTGTTAAGCTGGAAATACAGAAATAATAAGGTAGTAACAGGCTGAAAGATCATTGGCTTTCAGTGGCTGAAATGATCTTTCACTCTGGAAACTTTATATAGAGGCCATAGCTCTGAGCATCTGGGTGCTGGTATTGGTTAGAATAGGGGGCCGGGAATGGAATTTGGATTTTCTCACTGAGCTGGAAGAAGCAGCAGAAACCACACAAAGAATAGACTATAATGTGGGAGAATTTGATGAATTCTTCAACATACCCAGAGAGGATTAATTAAATATTGCTATGGATAACACTGAGTTAAGAAATTAGCATCCAATTGTATTTAGTATATTATGAAAAAGTATAGACTTTTGCATATACTTTTCCACTTCAGTGATTTTTCATTCTGCCACCTGGCCTACCTGACCCACCTGAGAACTGGGAAGTACAGACAGACCCCTCTGAGCTACCAAACCGTCTTTCTCAATGTGTAGGCCCAACAGCTTGAGCACAGTAGATCCGGGAGGAGAGTTAAAATCCCACTCAGAATCTATTTATGCTTATTTTATTCAAAATATTAACTAGCCTGGTCAGCCATAGATTTCTAAGAACAAAAGAATTTAAACACAACAGAAAACTATCAATAAGAACATTGACTTAGCAAAAATTCAGAGCTTAGTCCTGACAGGAAGAAAGAAGATATTTTTAAAAACTTAATTGGA